ATTTATTTATTTATTTATTTATTTATTTATTTATTAAATTTGTATGCCACCCATCTCCCCCAATGGGTGACTCTTGTAAAAAGTTGTTGGTTTTTATTGGAACAGCTCCATCCTTCCTTGGCCAAAATTACTGATGGGCCATCTCTGATGTTCAGAGTGGATAATGGAGATGTCAGAACTGGCTGTCTTAGAACAGAGTGGGGACCATTTTGGTAATGCTACCCTGAATTCTTGGTTAAAAGATTTCCTGCTGAATTCTCCACTCTCTAAATCTGGGTCCCCAACATTCTGCATGTGTGCACCCCTGTGCCCATAGATATTTGGATCCTTTAGGTGTTGGAATTCAGAAAGGCCCCACAGTTAGATGGTAGAGAAATCCTGAGGGGTTAGAGTGGGCTTGGAAAGTAATCTTCCATTCTGAATTCTTATTGGTATTTTACGAGTGGAAATGTGTACCACACTAAACATTTGGAATTAAAATGCTACCATGGAAAGAACCAGGGCATTTCTCCCAGTTCCAAATTTCTCCCAGATTCAGCTGTTCCCAGAAGAAATCAGGAGTCTGGTAGCCCTTTTTCCAACTAACATATCTTATTAAAAAGCATAAGCTTTCATGAGTCGCAGCTTGGGCGCATAAAGTGGCTAGACTGATGTATCTCTATTTATCACTGCATCTGATAAAGTGAGCTGTGGCTCATGAAAGCTTTATGCCTTTTAACAAAATGTGCATGTTAGAAAAGGTGCTACTAGACTCCTGATTCTTTGCTACCTTCGATTAATATGGTTCTCTTACAATGTCTACAGTGACGTGTGCCTACAAAGCCTTACCTCTAGATGAAAACTTGTAGTTGTTCTTACCAGTTTCTCTTGCTTTGGTAGATCTTATTCTTAACCTAACATCAGTGTCTTCTCATCCAAAACATCCCAACTAATAGAAAAAACTTGTCATTTCCCCCCTCCTGTCCTCGGACACCGTTTCTTCCTTGTGATCCTCTCCCAGAGCAATTGATTGGTGTGCTCCCTAATCATGCTCTAGATGTAAAACAGCAGCCCATCTTTATGGGTCTCCCAAACAACACACATACGATGAGCTGTGTGAAGTCTGAGGAGGGTCAGGTCCAGCTCCAGTTAACGGTGAGTATTTCAGTTACACCTCAATAGGGGACGACAGTTTCTCTGGGAAAATGATCCTTGCTTGTCCTTTTATGATCTATGATTTGCACCATTTATATTCTCTGCTAGTATTAAAAGGTCTCACATATTTTCCACCAATGGAAGTGTCAATTTAGAGATGCTTACATGGGAATTATCATCCTGTGTCAGATCATCTTTTACAGGGCATTCAAATGATACGCTTGCCAGATTACAGAAACTTCTCTCTCTCTCTCTGTTACATGTTACCTTGTCATGAACGGATGAAGATTTTTATTTTATTTTTGCAAAAGTGCAGTAGCTTCAACAGTACTTTGACTTATGTGTAGGTCAACAGATATATTTTGTGTATACCTGTATATACATACAGGTATGCACAAAAGATTCTGGAAAGTCATTTGCTCCCATGTTCTACCTGATTTCTAGTTACAGTTATAGCTATTGTCACTGATTTATTAGCTAAATATTTGGTTTCTTTTGATCATTTTTAATAGTAAGATGGTGACAAAGGAAACTTTGCTTAAAGAGGACACATTGATGTCCCTATTAGTGGAAAATGTGTCTTCTAAGGAACTATGAACTATTCATTAAGAATTTTGCAGCCATGCATAACTACATAACTTCTTTCTAATGAAGCCTTCCTGTTTTCTTAGGATGGAAACATTGTCAGACTGTACGAACAAAATGAGAAGTTTTTGGACTTCAGTTTTTACAGCAGGACGGATGGTGGCTCAGAAACATGCTCTTTTGAATCTGCCCAGTTCCCCGGTTGGTTCATAAGTACTTCTTCTGAACCAGACAAACCTATTGGTTTGAGTCAAAAAGGAGGACCTGGAAACATCCTGTTTCACTTTGAACGAAAATCGTGAATCAGAAATGTTGTTTTCAAGGAGGAATAGAAGAGATTGTTTTGCTATATTTTGTAGGTGATGGAACTTTTTTTTTTTTTGCACAGATTGGCATGGGGTTGTGATAAAGAAGCAGAAAGTGTGATCAGAACTAGATCAGGATTAGATAACAGCTTGCCTGAGGTAGAAAACCTGCTGTACATTGTGATCTTTTGAATAAAATATCATAAGGGCTGAACCAAACATTTTGAGAACAAACAGACCTGTTATATAAACATGTTAGAGATATCTTCAGTTCACAAGGCTTAGAAAACAATGGCTAAAAGACTGTTGACTTGAAAGGATGATGGAATAGACCTAGAATTTAAAGGTTGGGGCTAACATATTTATAGGAGTTGATTCTTGTGTCTGTAAAGTAGCCCTTCCTGCAATTGTGGCTAAAGGAATGCTTCAGAGAACAGTTATCCGAAGCATGTTATCCAATGGTTTATTCAGCCCTATTCTGTACTGTATAGACCTTGCTGCAAACATTGGCTCCTTGACATGTATGGTTTTACAAAAGAAGAAAAAATAATGAACTAATTAAAACATAATAAAAACAAAAGTGTAATCTGCAAATTTGTTGGGAGTCAGTGTCTGGCTTTCTGTGAGTTTTATTCAGATATTTTTTAAAGGCAAATACCTAGGCCAACTAATATCTCTCTGAGGCAGCACAGATACAAGTAAAAGGACTTATACTCTGCCGTAACCACGCTGGTGCCATTAGGACTTTTCCCCATTTCATCAACTCCTGCCCCAGTTCCCAAGTGGCATCAACAGACCACTGTGATCTCTCACCACTGGAGATGTGCCTGTGTGAAAGAAGCAGAAGGAACCCAGACCTTTGGGGAAAGAAGAGTGTGGTTTGTCTATCTGGTTAGGTTGCATTCCATCCACTCTCTCTCCTCCATAGTGAGAAGCAGGATCTGGGAGGAGGGTGTGGTTGCTTACCACATCTTAAAAGTGCATGCCATTGATGTCTGCAGCGCAGGGGGAAAATGGGATTCTCCAACTGAAACCTTGATTTGCATGTCGTGCCTGCTTTCAACATCTAATTGCCAGGTTGCCAGCAGTAGCGTGAAAGGAGGGGAAAGGAGTAAGTGCAGTATTTTCCCTGAGTGTGATGAAACTTTACCTTGGAGAAAACCTTGGCAGAAGTTGTAGGATGATGCATGAACAGATATGAAGCATTTGTTTCCTGTTTGCAGGGGAGATACTCTCTATTAAGGAGAATCATGAGATACAGCATCCCATCGCCCACATTTTAAGGCTCTTTGATCACAAAGACATGCTTCATTGTGTTGATAGCTAGCTTCTGTTTGGTCACTAAAACACCATTTGAGAAAAGGCTCCTTAATTCTGATCCAACGTTCATTTGTTTCAATTCTTGTTTTTGCATGCCATGGATCTTGATAAGTTTCACTCCTGTGCACTTAGAGTGTTTGATCCATTTAGATGACGATACATAGAAGAAGAAAGCAGAGACAAAGAGGGGTTTGCTAGGAACTGTAGGGAAGGAGAAAACTTATGAACATTTATGAACTAAAGGATTAAGATGAAGGTCTCATGTACCCTGAAAAGCAGAGTGTCTGCATAACACAAATTGAATTACTAGAGAAAACAGATCTCAGGCCAATAAACTGAATGCCAATAAGCTAAGGAATGTAGCTGGGGAGGACCTCTAGAGTAAACACAGTTTTGTAGAACATTTTATTTTATGTAATATCATGTCCAGTTCATGTGGAATTTGAAGTGCCACATGTTTAAGTATGTTCTCCTTTATTTTTTTTTAATAAGAACTTTATTATATTAAAAATACAATTAAAAACAAAAAAGAGAATACA